AATAGCCGACACCCAAAATGAAGGAAGGAAAGGCTGACTTAGCTCACAGTGTGTGGAGGTTTCAGTCTATTCTCAGCTGGCTCCCGGGCAGAGTGGCACATGGCAGAGGGCGGTTATTCATGGCAACAGAAAACAGCAAAGAGTAAAAGGGACGGGCAGCAGCTGGCTGCTGCCAAGATCCGAGCTCCTCCGAAGTGGCGCGGCTGCATGGATCATGTTCCTCCAAGTAAGTGGCTCTGCGAAGCTCCAAACTCCTCCAAGGACGTGGAACTCAAAGAAGCCTTCCTCAAGCCCACTATACACCCTGTTCGTGCTGTGGCACCCTAGGTCGGCCCCCACGCCCTGGGGGTGGAGTCCCCAGTGGATGCAGCCACGCTTCCGCTTCTCAAGCGGGCACAAGGTACAACCTCCACGCCCACCTGCTCCACTGAGGTGCCTGACCTGAAGCCAGCCTTCCAGTCACCCTGGGCTCAACTGTAAGGAAAAGAATAAAATCGGGACCATTTCTAAGATGTTGGCTATGTATCAACTGTGCCTGAAAAATTATTTGAATAATTAACAAATGGAAACGCTCTAACCCTTTCATAATACACAGCACCCTTATCTGTAGCATTTATATGTATTTCCAGAAATATGCAGAAAGTAGCAAAATACCTATAAAGTACAAACTGACTGGGCTGAGATACAGCTCAGCAGCACGGCACCTGCCTGGCAAGTGCAAGGTCCCGAGTTCAATTCCGAGTTCCAACAAAGAGAGCACAAACTGACTTTGACCAAGAATCACACGTCTACTCAGTTGGTGAATTAGTCACGAGAATTAAGTGTACCTAGCCAACAGTCCTGGCGTGGTCAGCTGGTCCAGACACCTCAAGGCAGCCCAAGTCCGGTACTCCTCACGCCTCAGGACTGCCGATCCCTCGGCCCGAAGGGCCTCTCCACGCGAGTCCCACCCACGCCCTTTACGTCATGTCCCCACTTGCTGTTTTTCCTCTGATCGCTACGCAGGTCGTTTTCTCTCCCTAGAAATGACCAAGCAGGCTCAACGGTGAAGAGCGGCTCCACCCGTGTGCAGCCAGCAGGGCCATGCATGGGAAGCGAGGAAGTCAGGCTTTTTACCAGCATGGTGAGAAATCGTCCGCAGAGTCCCATGACAAGAAGGGAAACATGTGCCCGGGTGTGCAGACAGCAAAGCACAAAGAAGTCTAAGAAGCCATGAAAGGCCTGGCGCAGTGCGGACAACATCAACCTCCCTCTGCAATGAGTAGACTAACACGCTCACCCTCTGGTGGCCAACATGGGAAACGCAGTGTCATTTCCCAGGATTACACCCAAATATGCTTACTAGGGTGTATTCAATTTTGGCCTCACATTTTCTTATGCCAAAAATAGATCTAAAAAGGCAACTTTATTCAAGAATAATTTTTTAAATTAAAACAAATATCACAGATTGGGAATGTACTGATAAACAAGAACACTTTGTTTTTACTTTTTATTTCATTGGTGCTTTTTTTTTTTTTTTTTGGCGGAACTGGGGATTGAACTCAGGCCCTTGTGCTTGCCAGGGAAGCACTTATTCTACTGAGCCACCTCCTTGGCCCCTCATTGGTGCATTTTAAACCTGCATCATGACAGCATTCGTCATGGGGAGTGTGCACTGCACAGGTGTACTGGGCTTCTTTTTTCCCACTGCCCTCCCCTTGCTTCCCCGCCTTACTTACAACAGTCTGGTTCGCATGGGTGCCCTCTACTTCTTTTCTGGGCCTCCCCCCCACCCTTGTTCCCCTCCCCTTCCGCACGCTTCCTTTCTGTTTTCAGCTCCTATTACACAATCTGGCCTTTATTTACACTTCCGCTTTCTCCCACCAGAGAAACCGTGCGGTATTTGGACATGGCAACCGATTTTTAAGAAAACAGGTTTACTGCACTATATAATAAAAAATCAACAAGTGATTAAATTCAGTAATTTTAAGATTGGTTTATGAGCATATTTGATACTTAACACTTATGCTAGCTTCAAAATATAAGAACCAGAGAATTTTAGTTACAGGATAATGATAATCGATGCAGTGGTAATGTAGACTACTTCCACTATTTGATTTTTTTTTACGGAACCAGGGATTGAACTCAGATTCTTGCGCTTGCCAGGCAAGCACTTATTCTACTGAGCCATCTCCCCGGCCCACTTCCACTATTTGAAACTGCCCATTAGATAATTAGTAAAAAATTAATTCTGCTGTTTTAATCTGTTAAACACATTATGTCTTAATCTTTTAGTGAAATGAAAAATAAAGTCTGGATTAATGGAATTTAATAGCAATGGGGGCTTCTTTTCCTATGCTTCTGATTTTTAGTTTACAAATGATATTCAGAATTATGAGAAATTCCTACCACACATGAGTTTAGGTCTCCCACACCGACTGCATGCCTGTAGTACTGGAGCAGGCCTATGCTGGGTAGGGCAGGAACAGCTAGCTCTGCAGCAAGCCTGGGCTGCACGTGAATAAAGCAATGTCCACGCAACCCGCTGAGCTACTGCTGAGCACAAGTGCAGAAGCTGGCAGGACCATCTGTCCTCTGGTCCTGACCACGGGAGGAACCAAGGAAGAAGTCTTGCAAAAGAGACTCTCAAGGAGCCAAGGCCTTTGATTTGCAAGGAAGCTTGCACGCAAAGGGGGAAAGAGCTGGAAGAAGGGCGCTGCCCCCGCCATTCAGTGCCAAGAAGCCCGGGTGGTGAAGGACAATCTGAAGGCTCTATTGTCCCATGCAGCCCCGGCGCCATGCCCTGGGGACGAGACCTGACTTCCAACATCAGCAGAACAAGGGTGTCACTGCTGGCTGTGTGAAAGGACCAGACATAAAGCAGGAGCCAAGGGGGCCCGGCAGCAGCATGCTGTTTCTTCTGTCTGTTCTCCAGGTGACAGAAATGGGACAGGGCAGAGGACAGCATTCTTCAGGACAGAGAAGCGAGCACTCAGCCAGTAGTGAGGGAGGCTGGAGACGGGCTACCCGGACACCCTGACACACGCAGGGATGGGCACGCTCAGGCCTTTAGCCCTGCAGTCTTGCTTCATGGACCGTATTTCACTTGTCTCGGCTAGCAGTGCTGCCAGGGCTCACAGCTGGACCTGGAGGCCCTGGGAGGACCCCAGCAGGGGCCTCTCGGGTGCAGAGAGCCTTTGGATGCACGGCAACTGTCCTTGGCTAAGGGTCCCAAAGACCTACCAGTCAAGTGTTTCAGATCTCGAAATAAGGTTTTGGAGACACTCCAGTGCCACAGTATTCAGGAACACGTAAAGTGTCACGTACCTGCAGGTCCAGAGCTATGTGTTGGACTCCTGTGGCTCTTCGTTTTCTTGGGAGAAAGTTTAACTGGAAACAAAACATCTTTGTCTTTTCTACTGACAGGACTTACACTGCGAAAGCCCAGGGAATGGGAAGAAAGAAAATGAGCAGGTTCACCTCCCTCCAGGGGGTGCCGGCGGCCGAGGCTCTGCACCCTTCACAGCCTCTATCTGCACACTCCAGAGGCTAAGAGGCCTGTATGACTTGGGCACGCTATTACATATTTTTACCATCACAGATAATTTCCCATAACTTAGCACCTGGTAAAATAGAATACATGACCATATCTGTTGGATTTATAAAGAATTTGGGGGCTTGCGGGTTAGCTCAGGCACAGGGGACTGCGGTTCGATCCCCAGCTCCACATGCCTTACCATACCTACCCATACAGCAGCCTGGACCAGCCCCCCAAAAAAACTCCTTTTCAACTTTAAGGGCTGGCCATATAGCTCAGCGGGTTCGATCCCCAGGCCTGCCGGGCTGGCCCTGACCCTGAGGCACTCTGAGATGGCGATTGAGACTGGGTATGGTGGTGTGCACCTGTAATTCCAGCTCTTAGGAGACTGTAAACAGGAGACTCACTAGGAGTCTGATCTACTAGTGACACCCTGAACACCCTGTAGACTCTTCCCTAAAATACAGAATAAAAAAAAAATTTGGCAGTTCATATTTTCACATTTCACCACTATTTTTCTTTTTTCTTTTTGTGTACTGTGATTCTTTTGATACAGGGTCTCACTGCACAGCTCAGACTCATAGTGAACCTCCTGTTCAGTGTTAGGATTACAGCCTCCCCAGTGTTAGGATTACAGGCGCGCGCCATCGCGTCCTGTTTCCGTGGTCAGACGGGGTGCCCAGGGTTTCAGGCGGACACAGCGTGCCGTCCCAGGGATCAAATGTGGGTCCTTGCACTTGCCAGGCAGGCGCTTAGGCCACCGAGCTGAGCTATCTCCCCAGCTCCTTCTCAGATACATTACGTTAGGAATTCAAGCTGCTAGATATGGCCACATATTTTACAGACATCTAAACCAAGGGCCTCAGATCCAAATGACATTTAAACAATGTCCCATCTTGTACTGGGTACAAAAATCCTATCCACATGTGGTACTCATATTTCAAAGGATGAAAATGACTGGCCACCATTCTATCACTGATACACAGTGCCTAACAGCTTACTATTATTTTTCATGCCACACACAGTTTCATTTAATTGTATATAGACTTATTCCCATTATTTCAAAATATGGTTTATTAAAAGGAATCCACAGGCAAGCAAACAAAAATTTACAAAATCGGGCCGGGGAGATGGCTCAGTGGAATAAGCGCTTCCCTGTTAAGCACGACGGCCTGAGTTCAATCCCTGGTTCTGGGAAAAAAAAAAATTACAAAATGTTTCTAATATCATTAGGTTTTGGCTTCATAATATAGAAACTAATTTCTTCAAGTTTTAATTATTTTACGATTAGAAAATTAAATGGCTATTTCTATGGTTGCATTTTTTCTTTATGTTTTTATCAGTTAAGACACATACAAAGCATATAGGATTTTGAAGAGTTCAGTGAATGTTACTTTAAAAAGGCTTATCTGTAATTTTCTTTTGACTTACTATCATGAACAAAATATGCTTAGATTTCCACTAAATGAGTCTGAAGGCCATAGACTAAGAACATTCTTTATACTTTAATCTTAAAGTATGTAACATGTAAATATAAATGCATACATATTAGATTATTAATAAGGTAAATAGTTAAGTTGAACAACACATGGTTAATAAACAAGTAGCGGACAAACCTAAACAGCGCCGCCTGGCGCTGCCCCCAGCTAGACGAGGGAATACACCCAGCAGTGCGCCCACTCCTGCCGCCGCTAGACGAGGGAGTACACGCAGTGGTGCGCCCACTCCTGCCGCCTGTCCACAGGCATGACGTGTTGGCAGACCTGCACAGAAGAACAGAACGCCTTTACTTTTCTGCTATGTTATCACTGGGCAGTTTTCAAGGGACAGCTCCGAGGCCTGTATGCAGAGCATCTCTGCAGAGCCGGGACAGTGGGAGAGGCCTCGAGTCCCAGACACTCAGGAGGTTGAGGCAGGAGCGTGGTGCAAGGCTACAGGTCTCCCAGGCAATGCAGCAAGCTCCTATCGCAAAACAAAAACAAAACAAATCCCTGCACAGATGACATTCAGAAATTTTGTCCTTGCAGGGACTGGGACCATGACGTAAGGCCTGACGAGGCTGACTCCGGCCCGACACAGCGGGTGTCAGCTGGGGTGGAGCCTGCAGGCAGCACCCTTCCTACTGAGCCGGCAGCACTCAGTCAGAAGGCCATAGACTAAGAACATTATTTATACTTTAAAGTATGTAACATGTAAATATCCGAAAATCTTACTTGGAAAAATAGAAGAGATAGGGCCAGCCAAATAGCTCAGCGGATTAAAGCACCTGCAAGCAGGCGCAGGGATGGGGGTCCGGGGATTTGATCCCCGGGCCTGCGTGCTGGCCTGGCCCCCTGGGCACGCTGAGATAGCAATTGAGACTGGGCGTGGTAGCGCGTCTCTAATCCCAGCCCTTCGGAGGCTGAAAATAGGACAATCACTGGAGTCCGATCTAGTAGTGAGACCCTGAACACCATGTAGACCCTTCCCTAAAATAAAATTTAAAAAAAAGCCAGAAGAGATGATCTCTTGATCCCTGACCACTCCTGAGCGTACTAGGATTTAAGACAGGGCAGAAAGGAAGGTGGCGGGAAGGCCTCTCCCTGTCCCTCCTAGACCTGGGGACCACAGCTTCGGCCTGACTGCAATTCGGGGCTAACTTAAGAGCCAGAGTTCTTCGGACACCAGAGCTATGGCTGCTTCCGGCTCCTGACTTTGCTGTCTCTCTAAGGGAGCTGTTTCCTTCTCATGTAAACTTGGAGCATCTTAACATGGACCAAGTATTGTGAGTTATTAAGTTCTAGTCTATTAATCCTACTTTGCATTTCTGAGCGGTGCTCGAAAGCGCTCTCGTGAATACCGCTTGATTTCTACCCTTCCTGAACCTTGTGCAGCGTCTGCATCCCGACACCCTCTTCGAGGTTCCCAGGTCACCTAGCCACGATGGCAGACCTGGACTAGACCAGCACCTCTTGTGTCTGGGAGAGGCTGACACAGACATGAGCAGCTCACTTACGCTGATTTTCCACTTCCCTTCATGTCCACATGGTTTGGTTTGGTTTTTGTTTTGAGACAGGGTCTTACTATGTAGTTCAACCTGGCCTTCAACTCAAGGTGGCCCTTCTGCCGCAGCCTCCCGCGAGCTGGGACGGCAGGCATGTGCCCCCACGCCTGGCTCCTATCTACATATTTACCCACAGCATTAACAGACAAAACTTCTTTCCAGAGATAGCAGAATAACAGGCTTTCCTCGTTACCATGGTAGACTGTGGTGCCACTTCCACGGCAAATACGGGGAGTCCTCTGTTGTTGACGCAGTTCTTGCTCAGCTCATTGTTGACATGAATAATCACCTCGCTGTCTGACTGAAAGAAAAATGCAGAAGTTACTAGCACGATCTTCAGTACAACAGACACACCTCAGCCTAAGTCCTGAAATTGTCTTACTACAGCTCAGCCCACTAGGAGCTCAGATAGACTAACTGGCTCCTCTCTCAGCTTTGCACTGCTGACTTCTTTTCACTCACATTCTGCCATCAAGTACATAAACTTCCTCTTCTAAGCATGTCCACAGATCTACCCTTTAATCTTCATTCCCAGAGTGGGCGGGATAGTTCAGTGGACTAAGCACCTGCTTAGGCAAGTGTGGGGGCCAGGGTTTGATCCCCGGTACCACATCCCGTGCTGGTCACAGAGACCGGGTGTGGTGGTGCAAGCCTGTGATCCAGCGCTGGGGAGCCTGAAAACAGGAGGGTCACTACAAGTCTCACCTGTGGAGTGAGACCCTGTACCAAATACATTTTTTAAAAAATTAATCTTTGTTCTCAGACCATCATTAATTTTTGGCTTAGTCCCTTTCTACCTCCTGTTCAGTGGATGCCACTGTCCAGCAGACCAGCTGAAAGCCCGCTGGGACCCCACTGGGACCCCACTGGGACCCTTCTTCACTGCCTCAGGAAGCAGAGATTTATTCAGCACGTGGGACAGGCATGTTGTAGGCTCTATAGACACTGAGATGAAACACAATTCCTGACCGCAGTGGGCTAGTGCACAGTGAGGGGAGACAGACAAGGACGGCAGTCGGGACACTCTTCGCTATGCAGTGGAGGCCCGGTGGAGGAGATATGGAGACCCTGAGGCCAGCATCAGCCCACACTGGGGTACCCAGGATGCTGTGCAGAGGAAGTGACAGGTAAGGCAGCAAGCAGCGGCCCTGAGCTGGACAGGAAGCCAGAGAGGCCAGATGGAGCCGAAGGCCAGGAGAGGTGCAGGCCCAGCGTGCCCTGCTTGGGAGCTTGCGCTCACCCCTGCTCAGGGCTGGCTGGCTCTGCCTCCCATTCCACCTTTGTTACATCACCTTCTGCAAATCTTTGTGCCTCTTGCGCTTCCATAACCTGGGTACAGGATGTGCTCATCTCACAGGCAAGCGAGAAGTGACGCTTGCGCGGGAGCCCTGGGACAAGCGTAGCATCGTTTGCGGAGAGAAGTTTATGCACTGTCCCTTCAGCTAAAGGAGGCACGGCTACGGGCAGTGCAGAGGCTAGGCTAAGGCAGTGACTCCCTCCTTCCCTTGTCATCTTAGTGAGACTCGGCAGAAAAGGGAACAGGGCCCAGCAAGGCTCCACCCTGGAAGGCCTCAAGCCAGTTCACTAAACGTGGACCCGAGCTTCTCCACGGAGCCCCAAGCCCTCTACGTGGATTCTGGATAACGCCCCTGTACCAGCGTCGTGCACCTTCCTGGTACCTACACTTCATCCCAACCCTTCAGGGTGCCCATGCCCTGGTCACCTTGCTGCTAGGGGTTGGCTTCTGCCTGAATCCTACACCTCAGCCCGCTTTCCCCATGGCAGTGCCCTCACTGCTCTGATCCCCAGCTACAAGAGCACAAGGAGAACACAAGCACTGCTCACGCCAACAGCACCCCACCACCTAACATTCCCTGTCCCCCAACTCTCCAGACAGAGTTGCTTTTGTCTTTCCAACTAGACCACAAGTTCCCTGAAAGCTGAGACCATGTTTTATGCTTTCTGGTGGCCCTACTGTGAGACAGACTAAACAAAACACTTTGCACCCAGATTATACCGTCTCTTTACCAATCTTCAAATATTTAATTTTCACATATGAAAGGAAAATAATGGTATGAAGTCTTTAAAAATCATACAAGAATTATCATGCCCAGTTTGATCTGGAAATAGGAAGAATAATTATTCATTATAAAGATTATGAATATGATAGTATATTTAATTACTATGTAAAAATAGAGTAAGAAAGGACAAATTAGTAAGCCTGGTAGCCAAATTGGGAGGACGCCTTCAGAACAGATACCTTATTTTCAATGACTGACGTTATCCGGAAGTCCCAGCTGCGAGTGTAGACGAGGATCTTTTCATCATCGTCCATGGCTCTGGCCTCACCCTTGAGGAGGACAGACTGACAAGTGGCCTTCTCAAGCTGCCCCCTGCTCGCCTCCATCCTGACAGCCTTCACCCTTGGCTTGCATCTCTCTGTGTGGAGGTCTATGACAAACGGACATGCCTGCCCGGGGAGAGGAAGTCTTACTGAGCCTTCTGGCAGCGTTCAAACACATCACTGATGACACCATACTTACCAGCTGATTTGGAAGGCGCAGCGCGCCTCATGGCTGTTGGTTAGATGCTCTTGTAGGGGAACATGTTAGTAGTATGATGAGTATGAACAAGCAAGCGATTCTGACTTTTTGGTAGCATATTAAATGTCAATGTTCCCAGAGAAGAACTACACCCTCTCACCAATCAGTGACACAGTCTTTAAACCATGGCATCCCTCCACTGGGTTCAGGCCAACAAATTTGTTCATTTCCTTCTCTAACTTGAAGGCTATAAAAATAATTCATCAAGAGATCTAAAGAAATCATTACTGTTGCAACTGAAACTGGGATCTACCCTACTGCCCTGAGAAGAATTTAGTGTAGAAATTGAACTCACAACTCAAACAACCCAAAATACCTAACACATCTGGCCAGCTATGCGGCCCAGGGAAATTCACCTCCCATGAGGCATAGCTTCTTCACTGAAAAAAATGGAAACGAGTAACACATACTTGCCAAGGGCTGTGGGAAGTATCTAATAAGGTGATATGTGTGAAATATTTTATTATGTGGAATTCTTTTAAAAATACTGTTGACACATTGGAAGAAAGATGGCCTCTTTAACAAATGGTGCTGGAAAAACTGGCTCTCTACATGCCAAAAACTAAAAGGTGACCCAGGTCTATCACCATGCACTAAGCTAAAGTCAAAATGGAATTAAAGATCTAAACATTAAAACATAAACACTAAATCTCCTGGAAGAAAAAGTAGGAGGAACTCTTGAAGACATAGGGGTAGGCAAAGAGTTTATGAACAAAAATCAAATCTCACAGGAAACACTTGAAAGAACTAACAACTGGGACCTGCTCTTATTGAGAAGTTTTTGCATGTCAAAAGAAATTACCAACAAAATGAAAAGACAACCCACAAATTTGGAAAAAATCATGACAAGTACTCAGACAAAGACCGCTCTCTAGAATTTATAAAGAACTAAAAAACACTAGGGACCCAAAATTTTAAGACTCAGTCCAGAAATGGGCATTCGAGATGAACACACACTTCTCAGAGGATGAAATTAAAGTGAATAAATATATGAAAAAATACTCCACATCACTAGTCATCTGTGAAATGCAAATTAAAACAACACTGAGATATCATCTCACCCCAGAAAGGATGGCTTTCATAAAGAAATCAATCAACAGCAAACGCTGGAGAGGATGTGGGAAAAAAGGAACCCTTCTCCACTGCTGGTGGGAATGTAGAGTGGTGCAACCGTTATGGAGACTCCTTAGAAAACCTCGACTGGAAATCCCATTTAATCCAGCTATTCCTCTACTAGGAATTTTCCCAGAGGATCTGAAAACATCGTATCATAGTGATATATGTGTGCCTATGTTTATAGCAGCACAATTTGTGATAGCCAAATCTTGGAAACAACCAAGATGCCCATCATCTGAGGAATGGTTGAGAAAGATGTGGTATTTTTATACAATGGAGTATTATTCAGCTATTAAGAATGATAAACTCGAAGCCTTTAAATTGAAGTGGATGCCACTTGAAGATAATATTCATAAGTGAAATACACCAGATACACATGTGTAAATATCATATAGTTTCCCTAGTATAAGAACTCAAAAGAAGAACTACAAATAGAAACGTATAATACAACTAAAAGGAAAGCAAGAACTTGAGGGCTAGCAAGGAGAAGAGCTAGGAAACATGACGGGGCAAGCCATACTGTTCTATGTAGAAGATAGGCAGATCTTGAGAATCTTTAGAAGATTTTTGAATCTTGCAATTAATTGGAATGATTCTTATCCTGACTAACTATATACACAGACACCTGTGAACTGAGCAACTGCACTGAAGATGGCAATTTGTAATAGTAGTTTCATGCTTGGAGGGCCTGTCATTCTGGTCTTCTGAATACAGGCTGATTGTCATGACATGCCAGATGCTACCGTGCTGTCTCTTGGGTAGATGGTTGTTCAAAAAGAAGGGGGTGGTGAATGAAGGCAGGTGACAGGAAAAGGAATGTTGCGGGACTGTCCTGCTACAGGTTGTATATGGTTAGATTTCTGGACTTATGT